TTTTATTTTTTGAGTTGGAATCTCACTCTGTCACCCAGCTGGAGTGCAGTGGCTGCTCCCGGCCACCGCAGCCTCAACCTGCTGGGCTCCGGCAATCCTTCCGCCTCAGCCTTCCAAGTAGCCGAAATTACAGGCATGTGCTACCACGCCTGGCTGATTATTTGATTTATTGTAGAGATGAAGTCTTGCCGCCCAGGCGGGTCTCGAACCTGCGGGCTCAGGCAATCCACTCACCTCAGCCTCCCAAAGGTGCGGGATTACACCGAGCCCGGCTTTTTTTCTTCTTTTTAAGACACAAGGTCTAGCTGTCACCCAGGCTGGAGTGCAGTGGCATGATCTTGACTAACTGCAGCCTCCACCTCCGGGGCTCAGGTGATCCTTCTGCCTCAGCCTCCCAAGTAGCCAGGGTTATAGGCATGTGCCACCACACCCAGTTGATTTTTAAAAAAAATTTTGTAGAGACAGGGTCTCACTATGTTGCCTAGGCTGGTCTTGAACTCCTGACTTCAAGTAATCCTTCCACCTCAGCCCCCCAGAGTGCTGGGATTATGGGTGTTAGCCACTGTGCCCAGTCCATTCTCTTTATTTTGAACACACCCCCACCCACCCTCCACCCCATTTCCAAAGTCTGACAAGGAAGAGCTCTGAAGGGAGATCTTCCAGCGGGCGAGGGAGGGGAGAGCACAAGAGCTTTTCCTCCGTGGCTTCTTGTTCACTTTCCCCTGGGCTATTCAGTTTGGGGTTCTGCTGGCTGCTTGCCATTAAAACTTAGGCCCATGCAGCAAACTTCTCAGGTCCTCTGAGATAGGCTCCATGTTCAATAGGAAGAAGAAAGAAAGAGTCATCAGAGAAAATACAAAGCACATACAGCTAGCCAAGTGTTTACTGTTAATCTACGGCAAGTGGGCTGGACGCCTAGGGGCCTCTTGCCTGCCTCCCACCTCTTTCCCGTTGAGCAAGACTCATTTGACTCTCCGCCACGTGGGACCATTCCTCAGTTGAGACCTTTCTTCAGCGCCTTTCCCCTCTATGGACACTTCCAGGTTCAAGCTTCCCAGATCGCCTTGGGCTCTTTTGGTTGTAGATGGCAGAACCCTGACCTTCCCTAGGAAACCAGCAAGGCTGTGGCCATTCACACCATATGGGCTTCGCTTTTTAGGGGTAGTGTCCGCGCTCCCCTGGCAAGAAGCCTGGTTTACTACAGGTCTATGCTTAGCATCAGCTGCCTCACCACTTGTGTCGAGTTACACATCAAGGAAAGAGAGGCTCTTTCACGCTGATATAAACGGACAAAGAACTTACTGTCAGGATCTATTTTGGCAAAAAAAAAAAGTTAATTTTCTTCTTTCTCTGGATTGGACAGGGTTGAAGCAGGGGGTAATTTCTGTATTTATTTCTACTTTGTTTGCAAAATGGTAGGACTGCAGCCTCCAAAGACGATTGGCACACAGATGGGGAAGGTGAGTCTCCTTTTAGAAAGAGGATGCGTTCAAGGGACTTCCAAGAGAGAACTGCTCAAATCTTCCAGGAGATAATCCTTTACATCCAGCGCCAGGAACACATGCCTGGGAAGGACTGGCCAGACCATATCATTGACCTCCAGGGTTGTCCCTCGTCAGGAAAAGACCACACATGGCAGAGAACAGACCAAGCTCATTACCTCAGCCCAAGGTCTTTTCCATAGTCTAGGTATTCTTATTTTGAAATTCCAAAGTGACAAGTCTTTCCTTGGCGATAGGGCACTTTAAACATAACAGCTCTATATTCGTGTCTGAAAGAAAAGTCCACCTTCACTTTATGTGACTGCAGGATCTCCAACAAGTGCAGTCTAACAGTCTGTCGCAAGTGTATTGGATGTTTCAGTTTGCCAGACCTGTCATGATAAATTAATTACAGGATGTTGCAGAAATGGCAAAGCTCCAGCAGCATCTTGCATAGTTTAATATAGACCCATTTCCCCATTTCAATGTATTTGTGGTTAGATAAATCCTCTGAAATTTACAGCTGCTATACACGAGTTTATTATGTACTCTGTTCACACACAGGATAAGTGTAAGAATTTGATGTTCTTCAAGTGCATAGATTTTACTGATATATATTTTTCTACCACCATGGAAATATTTAGTTGCTAAAAGCCATATTGGTAGATACCTCTGAACATGAACTTCTGTATGACAGGCAGGGATGGTTAAAAACATTGCTGTGCTTAACCATCTCTTTTGCCTTAAAGAATGGTATCAGAAAAACTTACCTGGAGCATTTATACGGAATGGCCCTGTGAATAAATTGAAGAGAAAAAAAAATGTAACTACTGAGTCTCAGCTGAAAACACTGAAAAACTGAACCGAAGCTACCACGCTTTTCTCCAGGGAACCTCCTTCCTTTACTTTCGTGACTGCTTTTTGCAAGCTTCAGTTGCTCGCTTTTGCTCTTGCAAGTTCTGTTCCCCAACTTCTTGCTTTTTCCTACTTTCAGACAACTATATTTTTCTCTTCGCTAAGCCAAACACCTCCATCCCAATTAATTTTTAATCACCCTTTGATTGGCAATATTTGCGTTTACTTATATAACTGCATAAACATATCATTCATATCTTTTATGTTATTATATTCTTTCAGAATTCTTGACAAGGTCTAAATGATGATTTTAAAGAAAAAATGAACTATGATAAGTAAAAAACCAGATGGCTCAGGACTTTAAGAAATGACATGGCAGTAGATGGTTGGACCATTTTGACCTAAGTGATAAAAGGTGGAACATAAATTATGTATGGGTGTGTGTGTGTATTTATGACTCCCCTCTTCTAGACTGAGGAGACATTAAAATTGTGCATTCTTAGCCACACTAGCCTGCCCAACTTTTTGAGACAAAACAAACCCAACTATAATCAGCATGAATTTGAGGTGTGACAAGAACAACTTTAGAAAACAGAGTGCTTACAACATATGCTTGATGTAGATTTGAAGGAGACCATTAGAAAAATAACATTCTTTGTGTTTACAAAACAAATGTTTTTGTTATCCAGTTCCCGCCTTAGCTTAAAGTATTTCCTATTCACCTTAATAATTAGAGCAGAAGGATATGATGAATGAAGTGCCTCATTACCAAGTTTGCTTCCTGGGTCTCTGCAGAGAGTAGCTGTCTGCTTTTGCCTGGTTAGTCCATTGTTCACCCTAAATGATACTGACATTCAATTCTCCTACAGATAATTGGGCCCATCCATAGATTGAGTTCTTCAGTCAACACAGCCTTTTGATTGACATGCTTCTTGATGTTTTTATTATCTCTTATATGACTGGAATGGCGCCTTTTCGGTTTCTTGAATAAAATGTTACTGTACATGTAATTAGTTTGATTCTATAGAACCTATTTCTTAAGGAAACATAATTATACTATGGAGTAAAGATTTACTAAAATAATTATGGGACAAATGATCAATTAAAAAATATTTTTCATTCAGATATATTTTATTTTATTTAGGTCACTGTTGTACTACAAACATATCAGATGTTTCTAGTTCTCCAGTGTGGACATAGGCATGTTCCAACTGCTTCTTCAGTTAATCTTATGTGTGCTATAGTCTCCAACTATAAGTATTTACTGGCTTTCTTGCCACAGCACCTGAGACCTGGTACTTCAGAGATCACCCAGTGGAGTCTGACACATCTCCATTTATAGCAAGCTGTGACATTTACTGGCCCTGTGCACTTGGACAAGATACTTAACTTTCTTTTCAGAACCTTGCTTTCTTCTTTGTAGAGTAGGGACAATTTTTATCAACCTCATGGATTTAATGTGAAGAGTCAATAAAGTCATGTACATAATAAAGATTTGGGGAATATTTTCTGTAAAGTTCAACTAAATAGAAATTGACAAATATATAGCTTAAAAATTTTGGACTGTTTAAAAATGTTTCCATAATTTAGTCAACAGATGTGGTCCTCAGATGGAAATCATTTAAATACTAATAAAAGTGTAAGGTCACAACCTTTTTTGTTACAGTTTCTAGAAATTTCTAATCCTCTTAAAAATATTTGAGTTAAATATACAACTAAAATAACATGCCACTTAGCTATAAAATAGTAAGTTATTTTCCAGATATTGTCTTATTGAATTTCTTAAACAAAAATCTGTCTCTAATAAAACTTTTTTACAATTTAAAAATGAAGGTCAAACATTCACTTCAATGTCACAGAAACCACACCTAAGATTTCAGAAGCACCAAGAGTTAGCCATTTAAAAGCACTGATTTCATTTATAAATCTGTATTTCAAATAAATCTGCACTCATTATGTAAAATGCTTCACGTTCTAAATCTTTTAAAAACTTGATTTTTATTCTAGCTTTGTAAATACTGTTCACAGTATTGTTTCAATGCTGAAGAAAACTTAATCTTTAACACAGAGTTGAATCCACAATTAGGAAATACATCTCTAAGAATGATTTTCAAATGTTGTATAAGTATAGAAGACAGTGTCAAATTGTTACTTTTCTGAAGAAAAGAGACAACATGAGATAAAAGTCAATAAGAAGACAAAAAAAAAACCAAACTCAATTTGTTACTTAAAAACTGTAGAGTGCCATAAATCATCAAATGGATTCTAGTGTCTGATTTTCTGCTTGATTACACCCGGCCCTATCACAGGGAGGGCACTGTTAAAATCTCCCCCACCCATCTCATCTCAGTGTGTGTGGTAAAGACATTTTAATAATCTATTAGTGAATATAGCCCAGCCTTATTTCGTCAAAAGGACGGAGGAGAAAAGGACTGGGCTTAGAGTAAAACCAATTTTTCCTGGCGTTTGGCTCAGCTGTTATTTTTGTCTTTAGTGGTTGCAATATAAAAATAACCCTTCATATTTCATATGAACATTGTGATCTTAGCAAACGCCTAACTCCCTCAACATACTTTTCATCCATCTTAAGGTAAAGCATTTCTACAACCTGTTGAAGTGCGATTAAGACCGAAATCAGAGAATCAACACACACACATCTCAAGATTAGAAGCTGAAATTGCACAGGGACATATATTTTTATTTTTAAAAGACATATGCATTCACAGGACAGAAAAACAAGCTTGGGCAAGGTTGATTCAAACTGGCTGGGCCTAGATGTACCTGAAGACCAGCCTTATGTATTCGCAAACAAAACTCTGGCGTGATCAGAACAGACTTCTGCGCTGATGGTTGCGGGCATCAGCACTCATCGTGCTGTTCAACACTTTCAAAACGCCCTGAAAAAAAAATTCTACACAGCAGGGACATGTTTACCAACTTGTGTGCCTCTATAACATGTGCAGGGAGAAGACCCAAATATAACTTTACTAGAAGATATTTCACATCGGGTATACATCTGGGCAAAATTTACACCTCAGTGCTCAACACTGTTTTTCTCACTTCTTATTTTAATGGAATCAATTGACTAATTTGGAAAATAAGTTTTTCTAATTTTATATTGGTCTTGACTTTCTTGGGGTTAAATGCTTTATTGACAGACCTATCACATAGTTAAGAAAGAAGAGTTGAGAAAAAGAATAACAACAAAAAACCCAAGAATTTCCATATTATGATAACAAACTTTAAAACATATAGTCACATAATGATGATACTGTTATTCTGAAACTAATGAAATAAATAATGCAATGTAATAATTTAAGAACAAAATAAAACTGAAATATTAAACAATGTAAGCCTACAAATTATGTATACATTTAAATACAAAATGTCTTTTAAAAAAGTAAATAAATTTAGAACACTGTTGTCAGTCCAGCCAAAAACCACTTTTAGTTTTTATCTCAAGTTATATATATGATTTTTTTCTTAAGAAACACAAAATTTTAATTTGAAAAAGCAAACTGCTTTCCTTTAAATGCCTTTGTCAATAGGATCATTTTGAATACACAATATTCTAAAGCTGCTTATCTTGTAAAGAAAGTTAATTTCAAAAGCAGATACTTCATATTCTGAGTATAAGATCACACATATAACCACAATAAAGGTATAACATTAAATGATTACTTAACAGTCATCCTAAAAATACAAATACGTCAATTCATACGTAGCAGTTATGGTTTTTTCTTTATTAGTTTTCCAACACTGGTGATGTAATTATTAATAATACAAGTGCTAATAATTGACCGACAACAATTACAATGTTTATAATAATTCAGCTCAAAGGCCACATTGATTTTTCCATAACTTGTTTCTGGCTTTTCTAGAGTCGTTCATAAGAACAAGAAACAGGATCCTTCCTTTTCTCCTTAGTATCTGAAAATTCTGAGCTCTGAGGAAAAATTCCATTTGATTTAATTTGTTATTTCATCTCTGCGCATTTGGATGTCTCTTCATCATTCTTCAACTCTTTACTAGGAAGAAAAGTATACAAAATGTACTAAATAAACTTGAACAATGTCTTCTGGCCACAATCAAAACTTGGTGTGCCTATGCAACAGCACAGGTAATAAAAGACACTTGTGAAAAATACATATGTGTATACACACACACACACACACATATACATATGCACACACAAAGAGATGATGAAATAAGACCAAAATACGAATTACCTATCTTTTGGTTTGCCTCTTAAACATACTGTTAACATCTCTTTGTATCATTAGCAACTGTTTAAGGCCTGCTCAAGCATTGATAAGTTAATATAAGCAAAAAAAGGGAAATATACTTCCCAAATATAGACACTAAAACTTCAAACTATGAGTAACTTCTAGAAATTAAGTGTATGTAAAGTTCACCATTCAATGGGGAAAAATTATCACGGATGATGTTTTAGGATTAGAGACTAGAAAGGATATAGATCATTTTATTCAACACCATTGTTTCATTTAGTCTGTGACTGTGCCTACTTTTATAATTAGGCTAATTATTATGTTTTTCAAATCAATCAAAAGATGGTTTGTTATTTTTGATTGACCAAGGTAGTGATGACTATGCATCTAGATGTAGCTTTGATGCAAAACAAATAATATCATTAACAAAAATCATGAACCAATACACAGGTGAAACAAGAAGTTGTTTCCTAAGAGACGTAGGTAGTAGATACACACAACTGGTAGGTGATAAACTAGTGAGGTTGAACCTAACATTTTTTAATAAAATTATTCATATAGCACTAGTGAGTTCTGTGCTCACAGAAAAATGTTACTGTCTTTTCTCTAAACAGAAAGGGCTTAAAACTTGGTTGCCCTTAGAAAACAAACTGCAGCTGCAGAACGATGGCAATCTGATTAAGGTGGTAGTCAACTTCACTGACCACCCCTGAGAAAAGTGATGGCTGGCACACTATGGCAAGAAAGGGCAGCAGTTAACGGTTCCCTAGGAGCTTTCCCTGGAGGCAAAGGAGGGGTAAGGAACAGCTGTGCTCTAAGGAACAAGCCCATATAAATGGTTGCACTAGCTTTTCCTATAAAAATATTTACACATGAGGAAAAACAATTGTCAGTTCATGTTTTTTGGTCTCAAGTGTATTAATGGAGCTACCCCAGCAAGCGCGTTTTACATATAGAAGCCCCCAAACACGTTCAAGTGAAGTCCATGAAAGCAAATGAAGCAGAGTATAAAATGGTACACATGGTATGCCAAGGTACAATATCGTTAGGTGCAAAAAAAGTGTCCCTGTGTGTATATAGGGAAAGTATGTAAAACTTGCCCTAAATTACGTTCTGATAAAAATGAAAAAGAAAGTAGTAAAAGTTCAAATGAAGGCTGGGCAAAAGTCACACAGAGACCCTATGAACTTCCACAAAAGCAAAAAACAAAATAAAACAATACAAAAAACCCCACAACAGTGAGGAAGGACAAGGATCTTAGAGGAAGAACAAGGCAATACAAAGTGAAAGGAAGAGTTCATGGTAGTGGTAGGACAAAAGAGAAGAAGACAAACAGAAAAGGGAAGGGGGAGAAGGGGAGAACAGCTGGAAACTAGTGCGATGTATCCTGCACGTGCAGAAGATGTAGGACAAGTTAAAGCAATCAGGAGGAGACAGCACTGTGAGAAGTAACCAGAGAAGTCGGGAAGACCTTCAGGAGAGGGAACCTGAAAAGAAATTCAACCAGCAAAAGATAATGTCTCTAGGGGAAATGATTCAGACAAGAAGAGGAAGAAACACGCTGGGTAGAAAATGACAAAGACAGCTCACAAAAGGGAGCTAGGGGACAGAGAAAAAGGACAAGGAGAGGATATGGCCAAGTACACACTTCCCATGGGGCGAGAGGGGCGCATTGGGTGCCCACAGCAGAGGGGCCTGAGTGCTCAGAGACAACAGAGGTGCTGACAGGGATGAGAGGTCATCAGAAGACACAGCAATAAAACAGCCCATCCTTCTCCAAGGTGTCTTCTCACTAAGTAGCCCCATAAGCTAATAGAGGAAGAATTAACAAAATCAAGGTCCTCTTTAAAGGCATTTCTGATGAAAAAAGAAATCTGTGTAGCAAGATTATGAAAACACATATGAAGTTCGTGTATTTAGTGTTTGTGTGTATGTTATATATGAAGAACAAGACTCATAAAAATACTGGACCCTGAATTTCCACAAGAAATTCAATCCAGCCGGGCTCGGTGGCTCAGCCTGTAATCCCGTGCCTTGGGAGGCTGAGATGAGTGGATTGCCTGAGCCCACGAGGTCGAGACCTCATCTCTACAATAAATCAAAAAATTAGCTGGGCGTGGTAGCGCGTGCCTGTAATTCCGGCTACTCGGAAGGCTGAGGCGGAAGGATCGCCGGAGCCCAGCAGGTCAAGGCTGCGGTGGCAGGGAGTGGCCACTGCACTCCAGTCTGGGCAACAGAGTGAGACTCTGACTCAAAAAAAAAAGAAATTCAATCCAATAAATATTCCCTGAAGGTTACTGAAGATGCCAGACACAAGCCCAAGGGCTGGGGAGAAAAAATGTGAACATGGGATAGCCCCTGCTTGAAAGCACTGCAAGCACTTACCACTTACCATCTAAAAAGTTAGAAGACAAAGCAGTGTGTAAGAGAAATAGCCCTGAACTTGGGGCCAGAAGATTAAGTCCTAGTTCAGGCATTTTGTAGTTGTGACTTTGAGACTTTGGTTTAAGTGCAGAAAGAATAGGCTGTATTAGAAACTTTCTAAAATTACATTCATTTTGAAAGACATGATCAAGTAGTACATATACACTGAATAGATAAATTAGGAAATACACAAAAATAGAAAAATAAATCATCATACTCTCACCACTCAGATACCTACTGACATCATTTATGTATATTATATAAGCTATTTTATAACCATTTTAACTTAAAAATCATAAACATAATCTTTGCATGTCTATAAAAATACTTCCATAAAGTAATGAATAACGACCATATGATACTCTATTATATAAAGTTTCTTAATTTAAACGTTTTATTCATAGAAATTTATTTATTTTCCTTCTATTTTAAAAAATACTGCTTGAAGGAGGAGAATTTTAACTGATTCTTTCCATATACATTTGGATATTTTCTTACAATAGAAGATGAACAATCAGGTCAAAGAACATGCACATTTTCAAAACTTAAAAAACAATTACCAAACTACACTCCACAAAGAATAGATCAATCTCATACTCTTACCAGCGGGGTCTGAGGAAACCACTTCCCCACATTCTCAGCAACACTAGACATCATACGTTTTGATACCTGTTGTCTGTCATTTTGTGAGGGGAAAATCTTAACTCATTTTATTGTTTTAATTTCCATTTATTTGGTCACTGGAGGGTAAACCTTTTTCAAGTTTTTTGTCATTTATATTTTTTTCCTTAGAAATTTCCTTTAAGAACTTCCTGTGCACACCCTTTGCCAACTTTTCTAGTGGTGTATTTCTTGTTATTGTTGTTATTGTTGATGTCTTAGAACTTTTTATGTGTTAAGAATATTACTCTTCTATGGGAAATTCTCCCCCTGTTTTATTTTTATATGTTTTATTTTATCTGTTACTGTTTTATTTTTATTTTTTTTTCCTGAGACAGGGTCTCGCTCTGCTGCCTAGGCTGAAGTGTAGTGATGTGTGATCATAGCTCACTGCAGCCTCAACCTCCTGGGCTCAAGGGATCCTTCTGCCTCAGCCTCCTGAGTAGCTGGAACTACGGGTATACACTACCATGCTCAGCTAAGTTTTTATTTTTGGTAGAAATGAAGTCTCACTATATTGCTGGGCTGGTCTTAAACTCCTGACCTCAAGTGATTGCCCTGCCTTGGCCCCCCAAATTGCTAGGATTACAGGTGTGAGCCACCATGCCTGGTGAAAGTTACTGTTCCTTTAAAAATGTTATGAAGTTTCTTATTTTTGACATGTATAATTTTAAAGTTTACATTATTTAAATCTAAAAATCCATTTCATAATGTTTTCTGATTCTGGTATCAAAGTTAAAAAGCATTCCTTAACCCACTATTATATAACTATTCATCTATATGCTTTCTGTACAATGAGATTTTAGTTTTTTTATAATTTAAATCTAAAAATATGAACATTTTGAATCTAATTCCTACAAAGAGATAAATTCGTAAATGTGGATATGAATAAGGCTGTAACCTTTCACTTCCAGCAGACAAACTTCATTTCTGCCTCACAGAGAAAACAAGGCCTTCTGACAGGCCTTTCCTATACTGTACCCTCTGCCAGTAAACAAAGTCATTCAAATGCATTTCCCCACTGGTCTGACAAAGACCCCAATTTGTGTTTTAAATTCAAATTCTTTGGCTTTTCTCAGGCCCCCAGGGATTATCCCCCTGCTCCTACACCTTGAATGGTTCCTTTTCAAGTGGCTCTCTCCTCTAAGCTTGTAAATATTCGTGCCATTCCTCTTTTTAAGGATCTGAGTTCAGTGGTTTTCACTAGTTACTGCCCAGCCTTCTCTCTCCTTTAAAGTTCAGCTTTCTGGAGAATGAGAATCTTCTGACAGCCTTTTCCCTTCAGGCTGGAGACAATCCGATTTATGTTTCCAGGTCTCTCCATCAAAACTGCTTTATACAAGGTCACAAATATCTCTTGGTTACACATTCCAGAGAGAAACTGTTAGTCCTATTTTACTTCCCTTTTCTCTGGCACCTGCCGTGTTGACCATGCCTTCCTAAATCTTTTCCTGCTGACGATTATAACACAACTTTCTCCTGGTTTTCCTCTTACCTCTATTAGAGTGACTTCGGCCCATTTGCTCGTTCTTCCTCACCTGCATATCCATTATGTGTCCCCTGTCCCCATGGCCCTGTTCTTTGCCCATTTCAGAACTACAGGAGGGAGACAGCAGAAACAAGGAGCAATAAGAAAGCTGCTGTAATAGCTCTGGTGAGGCTTTGATCGAGAGAGGTAGCAGTGGGCATAGAAGGGGGGATACATGGGAGCATATGAGAGAGAAAAACCTTTGGCAGAACTATATGCGTGATTTTACTTGGGAGTGACAGGCAGGCAGCTGCTTAAACTAACGCGAAGAGATAAACCTTTAGCTAGTTGGGCTCCTTCTTAACCATGATACAGGAGCAAGAAAGAAATCAATTGCTTTTTTTTTTTTTTTTGAGTTGGAGTCTCACTCTGTGGCCCAGACTGGAGTGCAGTGGCCGCTCCCGGCCACCGCAGCCTCGACCTGCTGGGCTCCGGCGCACCTTCTGCCTCAGCCTTCCAAGGAGCTGGAACTACGGGTGCACGCTACCACACCTGGCTAATTTTGTTATTTATTGTAGAGATGAGGTCTTGCCAAGTTGCCCAGGTGGGTCTCGAACCCACGGGTTCAGGCAGTTCACTCACCTAATAAAAATGTAAAACTATTATCTATGGACTTACAGAATAAAATAAATTTTACTGGTCTCAGAAAAGTGTCAGCTGTCTGGGAGAAATCAGAAAGTTTTATCAACGTAGAAATACATATATACAAACACACTTAAAAGCACAGGACAGACTGGGCGCAGTGGCTCAAGCTTGTAATCCCAGCACTTTGGGAGGTGGAGGCGAGAGGATTGTCTGAGCCCGGGGTTGAAGACCAGCCTGGGCAACTTGGCAAGACCTCAGCTCTACAATAAATCAAAAAATTTGCCAGGTGTGGTGACGTGCGTCTGTAGTTCCAGCTACCTGGAAGGCTGAGGCGGAAGGAATGCCTGAGCCCAGCAGGTCGAGGTGCGGTTGCCATGAGCATGCCACTGCACTCCAGCCTGGGTGACAGAGTGAGACTCCAACTCAAGAAAAAAAATAGCTGGGCTCGGTGGCTTAGCCTGTAATCCCATGCTTTAGGAGGCCGAGGTGAGTGAACTGCCTGAGCCCGCAGATTCGAGACCCGCCTGGGCAACTTGGCAAGACCTCATTTCTACAATAAGTCAAAAAATCAGCCGGGCGTGGCAGCGCGTGCCTGTAGTTCTGGCTACTCGGAAGGCTGAGGCGGAAGGATCGCTGGGGCCCAGCAGGTCGAGGCTGCGGTGGCCGGGAGCGGCCACTGCACTCCAGTCTGGGCAACAGAGTGAGACTTCAACTCAAAAAAACAAAAAAAGCAAAAAGCAAAAAGCAAAAAGCAAAAAAAAGTACAGGATACTCATTAATGACTAGAAAAGGGGTAAAGGAGGTTTATTAATAAAAATCTGTAATGTCCTGACTTGTGGGAGGAGCAATGTAGCTTTCCAAATAATTCAGTGGTAATAGTAAAATATAAAACAAATGTTTTGTGGCTGGGTGTGTAGTAGCATAATTTATGTTAGGAGAAAGAACACACAAAAACATAGAAAAGAAGGGAAAACTGAAAAAATGGAAGATAGCATCTTCTCTCTAGGATGTCCAGAAATGGTGGAAAACACAAAAACAGAGCTTGAAAAAGATGTGATAAATTCTTAGCCGGGAGTGGTAACGCGCGCCTGTAGTTCCGGCTACTTGGAAGGCTGAGGCGGAAGGATCACCGGAGCCCAGCAGGTCGAGGCTGCGGTGGCCGGGAGCGTGCCACTGCACTCCAGTCTGGGCGATAGAGTGAGACTCCAACTCAAAAAAAAAAAAAAAAAAAAAGATGTGAGAAATTCAAAATCAGGTAGAGGAATATTATCTGAATAGAGATTCTTATGAACCAAACTGTTTTTTCCCCCAAAATTCGATGTTGAAGCCCTAATCCCTAATGTGACTGTAACTGGAGATGATTAAAGTTAAATGAAGTCATAAGGGTGGGGTCCCAATCCAATAAGACTGGTGTTCTCAGAAGAAGAGAAAGACGACACCAGAAAGATGACATTGTATAGAGAAGTGGATATGCGAGGACACAACAAGAAGGTCGCCATCTGTAAGCCCAGATGAGAGGCCTTACTGGAAACCAATCCTGCTGGAAACTTGATCTTGAACTTCTAGCCCACAGAATTGTATGAAAATAAATGTCTGTAGTTTGAGCAATGAAGTCTGTCGTACTCTGTTATGGCAGCCTGGACACACTAATAAAGAGATGTATGAGTAAATGAAATGAAATCAGATGACTTAGAATGAAAAAGTCAGAAATTATAAGGAAGGACAAATAGATTAAGTAAATTTAGAGAGGAACAGAATAGCGAACAAATAAAAGTTTAAGTTCTGAAAAAACCACAAACAAAAACAAAAAGCACCGATGAAACACAGTCTAAAACTGTCTGAAGTACACTCTTTTGGCCTTATCTCCTAGAATCTATTTACTGGTTTGATAAATGAACAAGGGAAATAAGTCAACAGAGATAACAATACAATGGACTGAGGCAGACAGAAGAGTGGATGACCCATCTAAAGGGAGCAGGCCCCGTCCTGGCTCCACTTGAAGGATGCCATGAGAGAATGTGGTGTTGTGGCCCAAACTCTGAATTGTTTTTAAGAGAAGTCAAGAATATGTATGCATTTCTTTTATGTGAAATTTAGTATTTGGGTAGATAATAAAATCACACACACACACACACACACACACACACACACACACACACACACACACTCCCAAACCAAAAAATACCAGGATGCCATCTGGTTTATAAAACCTGGCTTTTGACTTCTGTTCCAGTCATAGACACTTGGTGGTCTCAGGGTATCCCATGTACTCCAACATTTTTGTGCCTTAGCTAATGCTATCCTTCTGACTTCTTTAAAAAATATATGGCTGGTCTCCAACTCCTGGCCTTAGGTGATCCCTCTGCTTTGGCTTCTCAAAGTGCTGGGATTACAAGTGTGAGCCACAGTGCACGGCCCCTTCTGACTTCTAAATCCTTCTCTTCTTGTTTACCCCATGTCTATATGGTCTTAAAGACTTAAAAACTGTTCCCCTGGCCACTATAGGAAGTTCAGACTATAATGATCCTCCTTCATCCTTTCTCCCCTTATCTCTCACAATAAAAAAGCTACCTTGAAAATACACAAAAAAATCAGGATTTTTGCTTGCAGCCCAGATAGAGTAGCTGGGACCAGATTTTCCTTTTGTCTTAAACAACTAAAAAAAAACCTGAAAAAAAGAAAACAACAACTTTCAAGATACTGGATCACAGGCAATGAAGAACAGTGATTTCTGAAAGATAGAAAATAAACAAGACGAACACTATGATCATCCAATTTCTTGCCTTGAGTGTTTCTAGGCCAGGGCACAGGAAGATGACACCCAGGTGGACTCCTTAGGGGGAGCTTAGAGTCTGAGGAGATCAAAGCAGGTAGAGTTCACAAACAGATGGACAGAGAAGAGAGTACTTCATAATGAGAGAACTGGAAGATCTGCAAAGGGTCCCCTTCAAGTAATCAGCAGAGAAATGATGAGCACACACATCTGGGGACATTACCTGAAGCCAGGAACAGTGCTTAATCCCATTAGCAATGAACAAAAACAGTCCCTGAGGAAGCCCAGACATTGTACTTACTAGACAAAGACTTAAAATCCACAATTAAGAATATGTTCAAAGAACTGAAGGAAACCATGTGTAAATAACTAAAATATGAGAACAATGTCTTATACTAAATTGAGAACACCAATTCTGAAATGGACATTTCCAAAAAAGAAGTAATACTAAATGTGCATAATCTATTCCAGAAAATTGAAGAGGTGGGAATTCTTCCCAACTTGTTCCACGAGGCTAGCATTACCCTGTCACCAAAACCAGGCTAAGATCTTACCAAAAACTACAGACTCATACTCGTCTTGAACAAAATACAAAACATGCTAAATAAAATTTTAGGAAATCAAATCCAACAATATGAAAAGGATAACATACCACTAAGCAGAGTTTATCTCAGGAATGCAAAGCTGGTTTAACATTTAAAAATCAATGTAATTTACCATATTAATAAATTCAGAAAGAAAAATCATGTGATCACTTAATAGACGCAAAAAAGCATTTAGCAAAATCCTAACATCCATTCCTGACAAAAATCTCTCAGTAAAATAGAAAATGAAGAAAAACTACCTAACAAAGGGCATTTATAAGAAACTTACAATAATAATATACTTGAGTAAAGACTGAATGCTTTCCTATTCATTTCCTATATGATTAGAACAAGACAAGAATGTCTACTCTCTTCATTTCTATTCATCATTGACTATATTGGAGGTTCTAACTCAGTGCAATAGGGCAAGAAAAAGAAATAAAAGGCACTCAGATTGAGAAGAAAGAAATAAAATCGTTCCTTATTTGCAGGGTATCTCTGCAGAAAATCTGGGGGAATCTACTAAAAAATCTATTAAAACTAACACATGAGTTAAGTAGGGTGGCATAATACAAGATTGACATACAATAATCAGTAGTATTTCTATAAACTAGCAACAAACACTTTTACATTGAAACTTAAAAACAATACTATTTACATATGAGATATGTCAGAATAAATCAACCAAAGACCTATACATTATATGTTCAAGACCTATACAATGAAAACTAAAAAAAATTACAAAGAGTAATTAAAGAAGACGTAAATAAATGGAAAGATACATCATGTTAATGAGTCAGATGATTAAATATTATTAACATGTTAATTCTTCCCAAATTGATCTCTGAATTCAGTGCCATATCAGTTGGAATTCTAGCACACTTTGCTATAGAAATTGACAAGCTGATTCCAAAATTCATGTGGAAACAGAAAGACCCGTAAATATTATATAGTTAAACCAACTTTGAAAAGGATAAAGTTGGAGGACTAATACTAATTTCAAGACATGGTATAAAACTACACTGTAATCAAGATAATGTTGTAGTGGTGTAAAGACAGAGATAAATAGATCAATAGATTAAAAAAAAAGACCCACAAAAATATTGACAACTGATTTTGAACAATG